GCGCAATATGTTATATCCGGAAAGGAAATTCTATTTGAATATCATACCGTGAATCATCACTTTTCCTTTGTCAATACGCCTCTCTATGATAAAATTAACTCTCTCGTGCGCAATGCGGGCGCTCGCATCCTTTCACATAAATAATCCATTCGCACAATTCCGATTTAGACTCTTCTTGTAAAGAAGGAAAAGTAATAAATCTCGAATAAAACGATCTTGTAAAATAAAAATCGACGAGATCGTTATAGCTAATTGTGAAATATGATTCATCTAGGTACTTCAATATGGTCTTTTTTCTCTTTCCTTCTCACAGTTGCAAAATCTTCGAATCTGCTTGCGATTGGAGTAATTAAATGATCATTAGATCCGATCCTTTAACCAGCAGAATTCGGTGTTCCTTTTTTTAAAACAGGAAACGATTTCAGCCGTCTAGGCTACCACAACTCGAAGACGATTTATAATCGTAGGTCATGCTGATGCTACACATGAACCCTAGAGAAGCCGGCATAACTTTCACTCACGACACTGTCGCAGGCCTCATGCCCCGGGCACATTACTACGAACACATTGGCGCAACGATCTCGTCGATACAGACGCGCGCACACATGCACACACCATCGCGTCGGAATGTTGCATAAACGCACGCGCGTGAAGCCGCGGTTCTTACGTGCGTGATACGCGAACCCGCGCTCGTGAAACGTGGAAGTGCTGGCCGATTATACAAGCGATTCCCACATGCCACAGCTATCTCTCCGAAAAGTTCAAGTCAAATGAGATCGAAGTGACTAACTAATTCTCACTGAAAAGTAGAAAAAAGGGGAGAAGAGGCGGGAATTAACACGTGTAAAGAAAAAAAAAAACGTGAGAATATATAAAATTGTAAGAAAGTAAAAGAATCGAAATTAAAAATTATAATGCCGAGAAGGAGTTTTTGTAATAGATACAATATTTTTTTTCGTATTTGTAGTATTTGCAAGCTTTTTAATTGGGTATAAAGTCGGGGAAGGAAAGAGGAAGAAGAGATCCTCTCGTAATTGCAAGGAAATGCAGCTGCGAGTACTCATTAACGGGGAAAATGGCGCAAGCGTGCCCTTTTTAATTATTCACGTCTCACGTAAAATCCCATGCGCGCATCTGCGTGCACATACACAGCCGCATGCTCGCGCGTGATGCATCCCCGGTAAAATCGTATCGCTCTTCCCCGGCACGTACGTTCGCATGAATGCGAACGAGTCTTGCGAAAATCCGTCTTGCACAATTGCTCCCGATCGGACTGTTTCATCTATTTAAGAGAATTGCTCGTCTTCGATTTCCCTTCGCGGAGACTAAACGCAGCGTCGTTTCGCTCAGGCATGAAGATCGATTTCATTTGTTTCCAATCGATTGTGCTTAAAGACCACAATAATCACGTGGATAACATTAAATTGTATAGCATTTATTACTGTGATTATAGATCTTGTAACATGAATTGAAAGGAGATTTCTACGAGTCTGCGTAACGTTACTTTAAACTTCAAATATATTGAATATATTTTCTAAATGAATGAAGAATTATTTTATTTTATATATACATATATATGTAAGATAATTTAGCAATAACATTTTTGCTCTTCCGCAAACTAAACAAAACGCCTATTCCCAAAAGCCATGCAAAAGAACAGATTTTTCCGCTTTCGTAAAAGCCATTATAACGTCATTCGTGGGAATCAGTCCAGTCTGTGAACGTTACTAAACCTTATGGCCGATTTCTTCACTTCGCGATAATTTCGTTCGCTTAGACCGAGAGAAGGTGACTTAGCTCGTTCCATTATTTGATACGAGTCGATTTCCCTATTGTAACATTACGTCATTTTGCTTGCAAGAAAAAATTTTCTATTTAAATGTTAAGATACAGTTTGTAAGAATTTTTTGAATGTATTTTTCTCCTTTCTGACGACATAATCCAAGGGAGCTGTAATGAGTAGACAAGAGCTTTAAATAAACATACCTTTTTATTTCATACTTTTAGCAGTCGCTATTGTAGCGATGTTCATAAAGGCTCCTTTCAGGATGTCATAAGAGTTAGATGCATGTTACGAATGTGTCGTTGCTATATCTTTGAATGTAGTACAAGGATATCTTGGCCAATGAATAAATCCTGTCATCTTATTTTTTAAAGAATTATTTTTATTATGCGATACATCATTTGATCGTAATAATAAACATACATATCTTGTCTTATTTGATACGAGCATTTTGGAATGACATAAAAGTTTACATTTGAAACTAATATAAATTTTCGCAAAACATTTGCAATAATTGTAGTAATTGTTAAATAATGCAATTAGTTAATTAACTCAAGTTACTTTTTGTTAATTAATTTTTTAATAGTTTTCAGCAATTAAATTTGCTTCACTCGCACATTTTCGCGTCTTGTCAGAGTTCGATTAGAAGTTACCGTTATGCATTAAGTATGTTTTCTTTAGATCGCACTATTGCACATGACATTGTAAAGCATTTACATGCGTGTTTTCCTCGCTTATTAACATTGATAAACGATCGAGTAACGGAATAGCGCATAGGATTAGATATTACGTTACTTAACTTTTCGCATTTCTCGCTTTACATAATGAACATCGCAGTACAACGCGTTTGTATTACATTCCAAGTTTTACTAATAATTTCCTCTTCTGGCTTACTTCCGTTACTCAATAAAAGTCATTTCTGATCGTAGGAGAGAAGCATATAGCATCTTTCCATTTTTACTAACGCCTTTTGGAGGGGCAAAGACACGAAGAATTTACATAGGATCTGCATGATATGACTTTCTCTTGCGGGTTATCTGTAAGGAACATCTTCACGTTACATCGTGCGTACGTCTCTTATGAACGTCCTGACACGAGCATGTCTCAATGGAGATCCATCTTTTTAATCATACTGTGTTCTTCTTTCATTGTGTGATACCCTGACCCACAACTTGACACATTTAAAATGTTTGAAAACGGCATTCGCGATTTTCGTAAATAAAACATCCATAATCTATTTGGATTGCATTAAAAAAACGATGAATAGAGGAGCATTATTATCATTTACATTAAAATTAATAACAATTTTTTCTCCTGGTTCTAGTTTTTACGCAAAGTACAATACTTTCAATTTCCGAGGTATTCTACCATTTCTACCTATGTAGAAAGCATTGGGGGAACTATTGGGGGAAGAAAGTTTTAATTAATACAAGGGTTAATTAGTACTGGAAGTAACAGTTCCCTATTTTTACGAAGGCGGACTTCTCAAAGGAGCTTCGTGGGAGGCTGTACCGAGTCTCACAGTAGGGAACAATCATTTTATTATGTCGTTATCCGTACGTACCCTCTTTCGACTCCCGGTTAATTGTTAGCAACTCACTTCAGCTTAGTTTAACATTTCTTGATCCCTTTTGTTTCATTTCCGTGTTTTGCTTTTTATAAACGCTGGTTGAAAGAAAGGTATGTAAGTGGTTAAAAAATTTATATGCGTCTAAAATATTCTGTATTTTAATTATACTCTTTATAAAGTACCGTGATGTTCTTGTAATGTCGTTATTGGTCTAATAGTAACCACGACGCAGCTGTGTGTCATTGTATCAACTATTTTCTTCCCCTTTTTCTATTCACACGCGAAAGAATGTTCCTGAGTTCTGACGATCCGGAAGTGACAAGATTGCGCAATAACAGGAGCCGGAGAAGATAACGATCGGTCTGCCGTAAACGTGTTATGATTGTTTATTTGAATACTATGGTATTACTGCATTTTTTTTTCTAGTAACGGTGATGCAATGTGATGCAATGCAAACACTTGTACTGTTACGTTCAAGCTACATCTTACGTTGTCCTTCGAGGTTGATCTTTTTACTGTAGTTACATTTATGACATACAGTAATACGTAATTTTCAATGTTATGTGATTACAATTCTGTTTAATTCATGAAGTACATTGTCTAAAATTTGTATAACGAAAAGAGCTTCCATTAGAGGAAAGAGCTATTATTTTCTAATTGGAATAAAATCACTATCGTACACCAGACGTCTCGATTACAAGACATGTCTTTATCGCGACCTATTAACTCGTTCGATCGTATATCATTTTCTCGACGAAAATTTGCATGTATAGCGTAAAGTTCACTTCGCATAATAATTTTAATTCTCCGCAATCGTTCGGACCATGAATTACTTCCATAATTATTATTTTTATACGGTATTAACGATAAGATGCACACCGTTATGGAACCTGAATAATTGAAACTTATATTGAATTATATATGGAAACTTAATTATGAACAAACACAGTGCGCGTGTATAAAATCATATAAAATTAAAAATAATTCTATTAGCAGATAACAATTTTCTCTTTTCGGTTTTACATTATATGTATCTATATATTTTAATGTAATGGCAATGACCATAATATTTCACAGGGTCATGCTTTCAAGATTAAATCATTAACAGGCAATTACAGATCCGCATTCATAGTGATTTACTTGATCGAGAATAAATAAAGTCTCGAAGAGCTCTAACAGCTTTCGCATATTGCGACGTAAACCGATTGGAAAGGGTAAAAAAAACTCGCCTGCCTTCGCGATTTTGTTTCATTCACATCGTCCGGATGGTCCTTGAGTGCATAACCTTTGGATGAAGTCACTAAGCATCTCGTTCTCCATCCTGGCAGATCATTTAAATGCCATGCGAGTAATCGCATCGCCTGTGATATACTCATTGATACACGATACCATCACCTTGCGAAGTAAATGTCTATATATTATAGGTGTGCAATTAAATGCGCAATTAACGCGATAATTTTTGTTACAGAAACCAATCGTTTTTCGTAAGAAATTGCAAACATAAAGAAGATAAAAATTTGCAAAAACAATACGGATTTTTATGTCACTATTATTTCTATTATTTACATAGCGTTTAGAATACGCGACAAAAATAAAAGTAAACACTATCGGCGCGTATTCTGTATAGAAATAATACTGTTGCGAAATTTACGAAGCAAACGCATGTTCCGGTATCGATGAATTTTTAAAATCTTTCATGAAGTCAATTATCGTCTTCCGCATGTCCCACTCAGCTGCTACCAGATAAGTCTCGGACCACTCCTTATTCATCGCGGTGATCTGTCGTATTCTTTTAATTAGTATCGCTTTTTCATTCTCACTAAAGCAAACGGGCCCCGTTTCGTTTTCAAAACTATGTACGACTACTATTTTATCAGGTGTTACATTACTGGGTGCTGCCCATATGTGGTACTGATCGTTTAAAATATGGTATTCGTTATCGGGGGAAGCCATTAAGACGAATGTTCTACAAAACGATAGTACGTTCGTACCAGAACTTAGTTTCTTGAACAATCCTGAGACACTGAAGACTACGCATTTGTCGTTATCGCACATGATATCATAAGTGAAAGAACTCTTGTCGTGATAGGACCGGGGTAATTTGCTATAAGCTGCTAGAATATCTTCTTGGCCAAAGAAAATGCATGTATTTTTTTTAAGACCTTTTTTTAATAGATTTCTATTAAACGTATACTGGTTAAGGCCTGTCTTTTGCGCGATGTTGTGCGGTATGGCGAAAGTCATGGAATAAACCGCGTTTTTATGATAGAGTCCCCGTAAAACTGTTCTATCGAGTTGATCGAATAAACTAAAAAAATGAGAGGCAAATGCATGCGCGAAATATTGCGTTTTATCGTTTGGAAAATAGTCTTTGTAGATCAACGGCATCCTTTCCACAATGCTCACGCCATCTAATTCTTTCAAATGCGGACAATATCTTTTTGCAGATTCTACGTACTGCTTTGCAGTCGAATAATTTTCACAAAGCGGATTTCCATCGAGCCAAAGCTTAATGATTTCTAGATTTCTGAGAGGGGCTAAAGTGTTCATGTTTAATAGATTGTTGTGTCTAAGATCCAAATACTTGATAGATGTTAACTCTGAATTCTCTATCGCAGATATATTAAACAATTCGTTATGCTGTAAGTTGAGATGTTCGAAAGTAGCTATCGAAGTCTTGGCTAGTTTCAAAACATGAATGGAAGTTCTAAGTTGCGACAAAGGACAATAGACATTTTTATCTATATCCGGTTCTGTATGGAAACTCTCCAGGTTTAACGTCTTCTCGTTCGGATCGTATCTTTTGGTCAATGCAGTCAACAGAATAGGCTGTAAGTGGATTTTCAGCCCTTCGATCGAACCAAATCCTAAGGTTACTACAAGAATGATAGCGTCACCGTTAGTATTTTTGATGATCATGTTTGCCTTGCATAACATTTCCAGAGCGGGACCGCAATTTCTGGCCACAAAATATGCATCTTCTCCACAAACTTGATATCTCACTGGTATCAAATCGTTTGGTTCTACTGCCTTCAAAATACCTCTTAAAACTGTAGCCTTGTCGAACTGGCCACCTTTAAGAACTTTGATTTTATGCCATAAATCCGGGCGGTTCATCAATGTTCTTACTTGAGGTAGTTTTGCACCCATAGCTATTCTTATAGCAAACGCGGTATCCAACACAAGAGGTTTGACCGGTGAATTTAGCACCTTTATGTTGTCTTGTTTCATCTGCATTATGTACCTTAAGAATCACTGCTTTAAAAAGTTTCAAGTTATTTCTGTATTAATTAATTTTTTTTTATTACTTTTTATTTAAGTACTTTTTCTGTTTTGCTAACTTCTTCAGTGTTTACACATCTTTGAGGTTAACCTATATTTTCTCTTGGAAGATCGTTCAGAAGAAATATATTGTCTCGAGTACGTACATTTTTTCTAAAATAAAAAATATTCAAACGTTATTATAAGAGCATAAATATACATTATTAATACAGAAGATGCAATAAATGCTTAAAATACTCACTTGTGACTTTACCTGTCTCATCTTTCGACATTGTTCTTATTTCCACTTCAAAATAATACGTGATAATATATTTTCATCTGTTTACTGTAGATGTCGCGGTTATCTCGATACCGACATGTGAGATACTTAACGCGGTTGACTATTTGTTGATACTTTCGGCATCGTTATTATCTAATAACGATGATTATATCGAATCAAAATATTGTAGTTGTACGTGATTTGTGAAAGATGTCGCATCAATGATATTTTTCGCACATAACATTGATAACAATCTAAAAAATTTCACAGAGATGGCTGATCTGTGCAATAATTTGTATAATTATATAATTATGTATATACTTGTATATATGTATATTTTAACAATAATACAATAAACATTTAACTAAGATACAAAATAATATAGATGGATGGTAAAATTGGGAATCAACTTTTTCTTAAAAAAAAAAAAAAAATAAATAAATTGTAGAAATTACCGAATCTGCCTGTTAGAAATAATTCAGTTTTCTCTCTCTCTCTCTCTCTCTCTCTCTCTCTCTCTCTCTCTCTCTCTCTCTTTATTAATTCAATTACAATCATTCAAATAAGAATATTATAACAAATATATTATCAGATTGTTATAATCACAATCTTCTTATTGAATTAGATTGCAACATTTTTTTCATAAAAGTATTAATTAAAATATTTAGATTTTTATCTGAATAATACAGATTTTTCTTTAACACATTTTGCATTAGAATAATTCGCAATGAATTTCCGTAGATACGTATATCATTTCTATTGAATCTATCCTGCTTTAACTTTTAATTTAAAAAAAGCAAAGTCAAATTTAATCTAATGAACATATATGTATGATAAAAAAATTATGTCTTTAAACAAAATATACTTTACAAGTATTTAATATTATAATATTTATTTACAGAGTAAATAGATATTTATTTAGTTAAAGAAAAAAAATAAAAATAATAATTCTTGTAAGTACTAAATAAATGTATGTTTATATTTAGTTAATATATTCAGCTAGTACTATTTAAACAAATGTTTATTAAAACGTAGTTCTCTTTTTTTCAGTGTATAAATAGTATATTTTGTTTGTTTTACAATAGATATTATTAAATTTTGTATGTATCAGATAGATATTTTATTTATTAATTTTATAACTATATTCTAAAGTATAAAATTGTAATCGTATAAAAAATATTTTTTAAGAAATAAAGAAGCTTTTACAAAAGCCGTAATAATAATTGCTTAACGGCGGGCGATCTTTGATCTCGCAGCAAAAGTTCGTGCAATTCATAAACCCGGCGCGTTCTTTAGCGCACTTCCTCGTTCTCTCGTTAATTACAACCAGTTTACCGCACGTCCCTTACAGAATCAGCTGTATGTAATATTACACCATTTCTTTCAACGAACAGCATCAGCGGCTGCGCGCGTTTTTGGAAGCTACATATTAACGTAACATGTTGAATCAATAACATGCTCATTTTCGCGCAGATCATCCGATTAACTTTCAAAAATTCTGCATTCGTCGATAAATCAATATGATTAAATTATTAGAATTAAATGCAATTTTTCGTGATACTCGGCTCCGTTTAATTGGCTCACCTCCGGTGCTGTTAATAAATCCTCGAACAATTTAACCGCACGCGTTACGAAGGATTGAGTTACTCGTTACTCGCAAAAAAGTTCGTACCAGGCGGTTTGCATCTTCTTCAGAGGCCGCGGCGCCTCATAATTCACTTAGGCTCAGCTCGCCTGTCTGCATGTTGGTCGAGACAGCGGCAATTACGCCCTGTCGGCAAAAAGTACGCGCACTCGAGCGTTTTTAACAAACGCCAACGTGTAGCGTGTCTCACCGTCGCCGTCCGCCGTCGTCACATTGCAATTCGCGCAATGGAGACGAGAAGTCCACTCCAATCCTGAACGTAGGAGTTTCGAAATTTCAGACAACAAGCATAATCGCACGATTCGACCTCAACGGCTCAGGAACAAAGCGATCTTAAAAGGGCCGCACATTCAAATTGTTCGCGCTCCACATTTGTTCGCGACGACGGAGCTCGGTCTCCATTGTTTCTCCTCCGGAACGCCGGAAATTAATCTACGGGGATGAGAAAAAGCGATCGCGGTACGATCGATCGGTACTCGAGGAGGAATATCTCCGCCTCGTTTTCGTCCTCTCTCTCTCTCTCTCTCATCTCATCCCGTAATTCATTTAGACGGTAGCCAGACAAGAGGACAGGCTCAATTACACCCGCGGCAAAAAGTCGCGCGGGCCCGCCGTCGCTTCCTCGTACGACGTGCGTGGTCCGCGCCCGGTTGGCGAGGAGAGGCGAGCCGAAACGAGACAAGGCGGGATGGGAATGAAGCGCAAGTGTTATGCCGAGGACAACGGGGCGGATTTGTCGTCCGTGTCGTCGAGAACAGGCGGCACGGACCCCGTCGGCTCGTGTCCTCCGTCAGTCGAGCGCGGCACCGCGATCATTAGAAGGAAGGGCCCCCTTTGTCGTCCGCAATGTGCGCAAGCAACGCGAGCGATGTCGCCGCGAGGATGCCGTTTAACGACGACATCCGATGCATGCTCGGATCGCGACGCGCGGATGTCCGGACGACGCGGCCGGAATGCTCGTCGACATTAACCATCTTTGGCGTCGGCGAAAAACCGTCGGTCGGAATCAAGTATCGCGAACGGATAGGTATTGCGAATGCAAACAAGAACGCTTCGGCGGAACTTCAGTAACGAGCTTCGCTTTTCGGTTTTTAGGGTTCTTGAAATTATTATCCTTTGTTTTTTTTTTTTTTTTTTTTTTAAATGTAAAGTCGGAGACACGAGATTGAAAAGCACAGGCGATAGAAGCAGAGAATAACAGATTTCAACTTATCAGAAAGCGTATATTATCAGAATACACCAGAATACAATTGAAATCTGTTATTCCTGTTCCTATTGCCTCTGCTTTTCAATTGTGTCTCAGACTTTAGAGATGCAACACAATTATTGGCATCGTGTACGTCATGCGTGAGATCCCTTTAGAAAATATAATGTCCATTGAGTACAATACAGTTAAAAAGTAAAATTTTCCAGAAAATAAATTTCAATATCTTGAATCGTTAAAATTTTGCAATACTTACTTTAAAATTCAATTTTGGTGCAACAACTATAATTGTATAGAGGAATATAAAAATATATATTTTTTAAATATATTCTTTCTTTATGTTTCTAGTTTTTCTTTTGCGAACACAACGATTTTTTACTTACGTCATTGTTGTATTGCAAATGAACAATATTTTTTGTTCGAAATGCGTTGAAACCAAGATGGGATACACATGCGTGGAATGGTTAGAAAAGACTCATAATTCAAAAAATGCGTTTGGCAAAATGTAATATAATAATCTGAAGCAGTACGCTGAAGTCACGATCGAGGATGCGTATTTCTCAATCGACGCACGATTTGCTCGCTGCGAAGCGAGTTCGCGAGAATTGCGCTTCTTGCGCGGCTTGTACACAGAGGATGCAGTCGGCTGTTCCTGGAGGAGGTTTCTCGAGGTGGTTAATCGGCCGGTTAGCGGGAACGGGAAGGCTCGCTCGAAAACAATGGTCCTCGTGTTGATGGCAATATTTTAATGAAGTTGGCAAGTTCCTGGTATACGGACAGCATCCCTCGCTTCTCGTCGGTTCCAGGAGCGTATACACTCCGGAGGTAGTGGGATTCGTGCGCGCGCACGCACGAAAGAAAGAGCAAGAGAGAATTGAGAGAGGGTGCGAGAGAGTAACGGCAAGTCGACAGGCGCCACTCAGCCACTGATTTCCACTTACCGATATCGTTCTACAAAGCTGCCTTCATCTGCCAGCCTACGCGGCCGTTCTTTCGTTAATCCAATGTCCCGGCTCTTGCGGACTTAAACTCGCGGAAAATGAGTTCAGTGTTATCGGGCATTACGAGCAAATCGAATGTTGTAAAATCCAATTCGATGTAGTAGTTTATCATACATCACTCCAATAGTGATTTCGTAATTTCACATTAGTCGTGTCTATAAAAATTAGTGGAACGTAGCACGGCGTGATAAAAATATTTCTTGTATTGATATGTAATAATAATAACACTTATAATACATTTCGATAGCAAAAGAGCATTTAGTAACTTTTGAGTTAATTTTTTGACTTCTGTGTATGTAGATAAATTCATTTCTTTAGTTAAGTTGCTTGGTTTCAAGATAAACAACATCCATATTATAAACACGAGCATTCAATCAAATTTAATACACTTTCTTGAGTTAAATTATTTAATTCCATTGTTTTAGTTAAATTAACATAGTGAATAGGAACAGTGACAACCTATAAAAATTATTAAAAATGACTCAAATTGAGTACATATAATTTGACATTAATGAATTTAACAGGGTTTGAACCATCTTTTACTCGTTTGGTTCGATCCATCTTTTTGAAGATGCGTCACAAATTCGTTTAAAATTATAATCTATGTTTAAATATATTCACAATGAAAGGGAGAAGCCGATGATAATTACCGTTAGGCATGCATCACTCGCAAAAATAGGATGAAATCACATGTGTCAACAAATCGTTTTGCATACATTGTGCAAAAGTATTAGGATAGGCAGGATTAATTTGATTGATGCAACGCAAACGAAGGCCGCGATTCATAAAAGAATACGATTATTGTGCTGCAAAAATAACAAGCGTTTTTTAAATGGGATAAATGTTTGTATGCATCATAACAATTTTTACATTTTCTATAAGAATACTGAATAAATAAAGGAACGAGGAAAAACGAAATAATTCATAAAATCCATTTTAGATGGAAATTTTTATTCAAAATGGACGTTGAAAATTATTAATCTAAATCTTCGCACATTTTTCTAAGTCACGAATACTTGCGTGAAATTGGAAAACAGAGTCTCAATATTTTTCGTTCAAAAATATTATAGATCGATAAATTCGTCAGATAAGATTTTTTTTCGAGGTCACACATTGTTGCGCGTTATCGATCGAGCAAGTATTATTGAGATTTTCCACTTTGTAGTCAAGCTAATTA